GGCCGCCGGCCTGGGGCAGAGCCGCCCGGCAGCCCCCCGGCCTCCCGCACACCCCGTGTCGTGCCTTCAGCAACAACAAGATCCTGGTGGAGCTGGACGAGAGCTCAGGTATGGCAGATGCCACCTCTGCGGTGTCACACTCGACCCACAGGGAGTTGTGGGGCACAGGCAGGGCCCCTGCTGTTCCTGCCCCACAGCGTGTGTTGCCCTGGGGGGTAGGAAGCCACCAGAGCCCCAGATGTTCCAGCTTCAGCTGCTTAGGACCCTCAGAGAGAAGCGTTTGGAGACAGGAGTCTCACTGCTTGTGGGCACTTCAGGTGGCTGCTGCTGGTGTGCCACAGTCACCGTGGGCAGACCTTGCACCCTGCCCACACACTGTGTCCTCTGTGCCCTCCCCCCTGGGGACCTGGCAGAGTGGCAGGTGCTCCTTCAGGGAGCAGCTGGGGGGGTTTTCTGTGTCCTGGCTGCCAGGAGCAGCTGTCACGGGGCCGTGTTCCCACACCAAACAAAGGATGCCTCTTCTTGAGGCTTCCCAGGGCCTCCCTTTGGCTGCAAGGCCCCTGGGTGCATTGCCACACTGCCCCCAGCCTGGGTACTGCTGCAGCACCCAGACTAAGCCCTCGGCAAGGACCTTTTGGGGTAGGCTAGTGCTGTTTGGGAGGGGACGAGGGCTCAGAGCCCTTCCCGCAGCGCTGGCCAGGGTGGCAGTGGTGCTGTCAGGCTAAGAAAGGCATCTGATCCTCTGGGCATGTGATAGAAGCTGGAGGCTCAACTTTATCCAGTGAGCCCAGAGAGAAGGGAATGGCTGGGCAGTGTGACCCAGAGGTGGCCTGTCCTTGGGGCACACAGAGTGCCACCACACGTGTGCTCGCTCAGGCTCCACCTTCCCCACTGGCTGAGTGAGCCCAGCTTGTGGGCAAGAGGGACCCTGCTCTTGGCCCCAGTGCTCTGGGGGCTTTTTGAAGAGCCAGGAGTGGAAAGACCCAGTCTGAGTGAGCAGGGAACAGGGAGGGGGGTGAAGCTCCCTGGGGCAAGGCGGCGCGTGCTGCTCTGCTGGGGGGGTTCTGATGTCTCTGTGTTTGCCATGGCACAGGCGTCGCCACGATGAAGTTCAAGAGCCCCCCAGTCAACAGCCTCAGCCTGGACTTCCTCACTGAGTTCTGCATAAGCCTGGAGAAGCTGGAGAACAACCGGGCCTGCCGGGGGGTGATCCTCACGTCCGTATGTGTTGTCCTGAGCTCGGGGTGTGAGCTGGGAGGGGGCAGTTTGGCAGGGGCAGGGACCATTCCCTTGCTCGTGTGTGGTCTCTTGGCTCCCTGGTCACTGGCAGGGGAGGCAGCTTTGATTGGCTCTGGAAGGAGTGGAGGAGGTTCTTGGAAGGACTGTGCTCCTTCTTCTGTGCCCTTTTGTAGCAGAAAAATAACAACCCAGTGTTGTCATTTGTCATTAAAACCAAAACTGGTTATCTGCCAACCTGACACATCCCTTGAGATCTCTTGAAGTGCCTGGAGAGAGCTGCTAGGAGGTGACTGTCTTCAGATGTAATGTGGGTACGAGGTGGTGCCTGGGAGTGGGACAGGGCAGGATTTGTGCTGCAGGGCTGACTTACCTGCACAGAGACCCTGACAATGAGAAACTGTGCTGCAGGCAGAGCCCCAGTCCTGCAGGCCATGAGGGTGGGATGATCCGGGTTGTGGGAGCACTGGGGAGATTGTTTCAGAACCCCAAAAGACCCTGGTTTCTGTCTTCTTTCATTACCATTCTCCCTTTCCTCAGGCTGCCAGGCCAAGTGCGTTAGAGAGCTAAAGGCTCATCCCCGAGCAGTGGCTCTCAGTGATGTTTGTCTTTTCCCAATTCTAGGCTGTCCCCAGGATTTTCTCCTCTGGCCTGGACATCACTGAGATGTGTGGGAAGACCATGGAGCACTATGCTGAGTTCTGGAGAGCCGTGCAGGAGACCTGGCTGCGGCTCTACGGCTCCAACATGGTCACGGTCGCCGCAATCAATGTATGTCCCTTAGTCACCCTGCACCCTCTGTGGCTTGCTGTGACTCCTCTGCACTGCGTGGGCAGGGGCAGATGAAAAATACACCCAGGGCTGTATTTCTTGTGGTGTCTGGGCAAGGTCTGTGTCTTCTGGTCCAGCACGTTGGGGTGTGGTAAGGTGTGGAAACATTGGGATGTTGTGGGTGCTGCCAGGGTACAGCATTTTGGCTGTGGTGGAGAGCTTGTGGTCACCCATGGAAGCTGTGCAGACAGAGGGTGTCAAAATGCCCCTGGCCCCATGTTTCAGTGGCATTTGGGGTTACAGACTCAAGTAGGGTTAAAAACTCAGGGAGTTACGTGTAGGGTTCCACTGCAGCTCCACTGCAGGTTTTGCAATCCGAGTAACATGGATCAATTAACTGGAGTCCCAAGCTGGAAAATGCAAGAAACAAAGAGCATTGAAAAATGAAAGGACAAACCCTGGTAAACCCACCAGAAATCTTCTTTAGGGCTGTTTTGGATCAGGTAATCAGAGACTTGGGAGACGTCTGCTCTGTCACCCTGTGTTTTCCCTGCTCTGGGGGAAATGGTGAGGCTGAGGGAGCAGGGACATGTGTAACCATTGCCCAGACTCACTCCTTCCTTCTCTTTGCCAGGGGTCCAGCCCAGCAGGAGGCTGTCTCCTTGCCTTGTCGTGTGACTACAGGATCATGGTGGAGGACCCCAAGTTCACCATCGGCCTGAACGAAGCCCAGCTGGGCATTGTGGCTCCCTTCTGGTAGGCCAGTGCCTCCCACTTCTAGTGTCACACTTAGGTCTCCCAAAAGAATTCACAGAATCCCAGCAGGGTGGGGGTTAGAAGGGACCTCTGGGGATCATCTTGTCCAGCCCCCCTGCTCCAGCAGCTCACCCACAGCAGGGTGCCCAGGATGGCATCCAGGCAGGTCTGGAATCTCTCCAGAGAAGGAGACTCCACAACCTCTCTGGGCAGCTGCTCCAGGCTCGGGCACACTCACAGGAAATCATATTTTCCTTCTATTCAGATGGAACCTCCTGGGTTCCAGTTTGTGTTTGTTCATCTTCAAGGAGTTTATTAACCAGTTTAACTGGCTGCTGAGGTGTAGTTATATGTGTTGGTGATCAGGTAGTTGCAGCTGCAGGCCACAGCACCTCGTTTCTCTGTATTATCCTGCAGGTATCTGAAAAGCTTTCAGGCTGCAGAGTGTCCTCACATCCTTCACCAGCAAGGACCTCAGTTCAGACTCTGCAGTCAACTCTGAAACCAGTGCTGGGAGATCTCCCTGGTCAGGGTCAGTCTGGGAACAGGCTTTTCTCTGGATACACGTTGTGTACCTGCAAAATCCCATAGCTGTGGAGATCTCAGAAAGCATAGGGACACTAATAAACTAAGAGACAGGCCCTTAGTTGCCCTAAAAACGTGTTGGAAAGGAGCTTTCAGCTCACAGCAGGTGGGCACAGCTGGGACCTGTGCACTGAGGGTGAAGGGAAGAGCTCTCATGGAGAGGAGGGGGAACTCTTGGGGTAGGACCCAAAGTGGCTCTGCTGGTCTCACTTAGCACAGCGTGGCTGAGCCCGTAGCTGCTGCTCGGAGACCTGAGCCTGGAGAGTGGGACCAAGCGTGCTCTTAGCTCCCATGTCCACGTGCAGCTGCCACTGGGTGTTTCTTGCCCTGACCGTGGCCCTTCCTCCTGTCTCCTCTAGGTTTAAGGACACGTTTGTGACCGTCGTGGGTCACCGAGTTGCTGAACGCGCCCTCCAGCTGGGCTCCCTCCACCCCGCACCCGAGGCCCAAAAGATTGGCCTTGTGGATGAGCTGGTGCCAGAGGAGAAGCTCCAGGAGAAGGCTGTGGCTGTCATGGCACAGTGGCTGGCCCTTCCTGGTACGGGTGGCACCCCCAGCAGAGGGGATCTGCTCTGGGTGGGAAGGACAAGTACCGGGGCTGGTACCCGGGAGCTGCGTAACAGTTTCCATTTACAGGCGAGGACGGATGGCCAGGGGGCAGGAAAGCTGGGCACGGTGGTCCTTGGGCTAACAGAGGTGGGCTTGCCAGTGCCCCTGTGAGGGAGGCCACTGCTGGGTGTGCAGGGCACGTGGCTCCCGCTCAGCTCGCCCTGCCAGCCCTGCCGAGTCAGTGTGGAGCTGCCCGAGCTCCAGGCACAGTCTCTGTGTCTGTCAGGAGAGGTGTTACCCCAGGAGAGCTGCCATGGAGTTGAGGGAACAGGCTGGGCCAGCGTGCCTGGGTGGCTACCGGTCCTCCTTTGTGGTCTGGATCAAGTCTCTGCTGAACTGGGCGTGGCGACGGGGGTGGACTTTTTGTCATCTGTCCCAGTAGATCAGTTGTTTCCCCACTGAGCAGTACAGATCATAATTTATTGTATGAGAATTTATCCAGTTCAGCTTCCAGCCGGTGGGTTTTACACCTTTCCCTGCTGGTTTAAAGAGCCCTTTGCTGGGTGGTGCCCCCCATTTGGAGGCACCTGCACAACGGTGGTGGCCGAGAGCTGTGCAGGGCTGAGGCCCATGCTCATTCCCCATCCTCTCTGCAGACCATGCCCGTCAGCTCACCAAGTCCATGATGAGGAAGGCGGTGCTGGACCGCCTGGTGGCTCACCGGGAGGAAGACGTTAAGAACTTCATCAGTTTCATTTCAAAAGAGTCCATCCAGAAGTCACTTCGCATGTACATGGAGATGCTGAAGAAGAAGAAGGGCTAAGGAGCCAGCCGGGCGGGGCCTGGTCGCAGGAGCTCCAGTGACCCTCCAAAATGCTGCAGTAGCTGTAGACTCTCAGAGTGAAGCCATCTGCAGCGTCAGCAATTGGTGATGTGCTGCCTGCTCCCATGGCCACCCCAACCACCCCTTCCCCTTAGTCCCTGTAGAGTGCCTGACACCACCGCTGCCTTTCCTGGGAGTGGGGAATGCTGCCTGCTCAGCTCCCCTGAGGAACAGACAGGGAGAGGGTCTTCACACCACTTGGTCCTGAGCCCCCTGGTCCTTGGGTATCCTCCTTCCTGTCCAACAGGGAGTTGTCAAAAGAGATTGCTCAATAAAGTCTTTGATGAGGCAGGAGCTGGATGCTTCGTTCCCCAGCCTGTCTGTGGTCACCACTTCCTGGCTGGTGGCCTGGCCCCGGGCTCTGGTCTGTGGTGGGCTGGGTGGGGGAGCTCTGCTGTGGCTCTGGGCACAGCGACGTCTCCAGATGGGGAGCCGGGGCAGCCCACGCAGGGGGTTCATGGGTGGGTCAGTGGTGGGGGCTGGAGCTGGGTGGTGGTCTGTGTCCATAGGAGGAGCTCACGCCGTCAGCTTCACCTCCACCGGGTAGTGGTCGCTGACTGCCAGGGCCTGCAGGAGGGTGAGGGGTGGGGAGGTGTGTCAGAGGGCTCCGGTGAGCCCCTCATCGGGCTGTGACTGCCCTGCCAGACCCTGCTGCCTGCTGGAGTGGGGTGTGGTGTCCCCAGCCCCGAGACATTCGACACACATCGCTCCAGTGGTACACCTTCCACGGAGAGATGCCCAGGCATGGCCTGGGGTGGGTGCTGGCAAGAGGGCATCTGCCCTCAGAGCCTGCTGTGGCTCCCTTGGGAGCTCTGTGCCAGCTGTGGCTACTGGAAGATTGGCTTGGATTGCCCCCTGCCCTGGATTCCTGCCTGCACCTGCCCATGAAAGGCCACAAACCCCCCCGTGCATCTCGTGTCTTCTCCATGGGGCCAGGCGGTGACCCCAAATCCCCCTCCTCTTCCCACCCAGGGGTCCCTCCTCACCCTGAACTCCCCATTAGCTGGCCAGAGCCAGCTTGGGCTGATG